GCCAGATGTCCTTCCGGAGTCGCGAGCGTATACGCCAGCGCCGGCCCGGAAGCCCGCCCCGCGGAGCATCGAGTCAGGGGGTGGGGCAGAGCGGCACGGCCGGCTGTCCGCCTCGGCGGACTCCTTTATGGTTGGGAGTGTGGGGTGAAGGCGGCAGAGGGGGAAGGTCTGCTCTCCACCCCCTGCGCACACACGTGCATTAGGTATCTACACACACAGGTAAATGCACATATATACACCCCCCGGCCTATGCACACACATGATGCATACACACACATGCATACATGTTATGCACGCACACATGCATTAAGCGCACACATACACTCATTATGAACACATGCACATTATGTGTACACACGTTGCATACATGCATACACACACACACTATATGCATACACACACTATGATTATGTATGCACATATCTATAAACATATACTGTGTACACGTACACACACACACACACACACACACACACTATGCATATGCATACATACACACTCTACCTATGTATCGGGGGTGGGCAAAATGTGGCCCACCAGGCCATTCTATCCGGCCTGCCGGGCCCCTAAATATTAATTTTCTAAATGGGTTATCTTCCCTAGGCTGCCTGTCATGCAGCCCTTGATAGCTTGCCAAAATTCAGTAAGCGGCTCTCTGCCCAAAATGATTGCCTGCACACACAGCACAAGCTTTCAGCTGTAGCTCACTTCCCCAGCGCTGTGAAGGGGGAGAGAAGGAGTCCTCGTGCCACCTTTTGTCATTCATATCAGTTTTTAAATGTTGCTTGAGAACTGCGCCACTCAGGTCAGCGATGGCGCATCCGGGGGGTTGAAGCGCCTGCCCCAGGCTGGCAGGTCTGTCCGCCACCCACGTCAGAGCCCCCAGACCCTGCCATGCACCCACGGGCCCCGCGTCCTTCCTGTGTCCACAGCCCTTCATTCTAGCTCGTGAATGCCCTTCCCTGCATCATCAGCGCAAACTACGATGACGCCCTTTCGTATGGAAACAGCGTTTAATCACCGCAGGAAATGAACAGAGCGGAGCCAGGAATGAAACAGATGGCCTCATATATTAATTTTTAAATAGATTCTGTAAATTACAAGTGAAGGAACGACAGAAGGCAGATCTCCAATTGTCACTTGTACAACCAATGCTCTACGAGGTTATCAACACCTATTCCCGGTTTGCAAACAGAAGAACAGAATGACGAGACAGTTTTAAATACAACTTTAAAAAGTCCTCAAGTAACTGAATGGACAAATCTCTTTCCAATGCGCTCTGAAGTTCCAGCCTGGAAACTCCTCTCCTAGGATTTTCCTCTTTACCACAGAGCATTCAGAGAAGGTAGACAACTGGTATCCAATGTGTGTCATGTTTGGCCTTTGCAAATAAATGCAAATACATTCCTTGTGTAGCAGTCCTATTTTGGCAATATTAGCAAGCAATATGCTTGGATAACAGATTTCCATTTTTGCAACTGCAAACTTTCTTCTCTGCTGGACGCTGAAAGGCCACATGCAGCCTCCTGAAACAGAAGAGATGCAAGGCATAAGGGATGAGATGCTGAACATAGTGACCGCGGGGTCCACTCTTCAAACCCACAGCTACATCAAGCAGCTTGTTAGCGAGATCCAAGACCTGGACATTGCCTCTCCCTACTCGGTGCTGACCCAGGCTTCATCAATCCCACATGCAAGATGTTTCTAATGTTGCTGAAGTCTCTGAAAGCTGCAGCGTGCAGGTACCCCCAGGGAAGAGCTCTTAGTGCATATTGCACACCGGGAGGAAGCACAATTACACCTGTAGCACAACCCCTTACCTGGAAATCATTAACTCAGCGAGTGAGGGGCCGACGTGTTCTGAGGCACCTAGAACAACCCAAGACAGATGAGTTAGCTTGGTCCCAAACAGCCCCTCTGCACCGACAAACCGAGACAACCAGGGGTTGAGGCATCGGGGTGGTCCACAGGGCAGGAAGCAGCACCGCACAGAGATCCCCATGCCAGCTTGGGTCCTGACAGCAGCATGGTTGTGTGGGCACAGCACAGCTTTTGGGACAGCAGGGTGGGGGGGATGAATGCAGACTCACGAAGGCAAGCCCAGAGCTGCAAGTGAGGGCAGTGCTGGAGGGGTAGCAGTGGGGTAAGCGTGCAGGGGTGAGCACGGTGAAAGGATTCAGAGGGTTGGGAAGCTGCAAACCTCATGGCAGGGAGGAAGAGATTCAAGCAGGAGAGACGAGGGGCTTCTCTTAGCAGCCGCCAGCATGGAGCTGCTGCCTGCCCAGTGCACGGCACACCCACCCACAGTGCTCGCGTTGCCACCGGCTCTCACCTGCAGATGCCCTTTCAGATTAGTCGGCACTTTGAAATCCCCCTTCAGGACCTGCAAGAGAAGCAAAGCCGGAGTGACTCCCCATGGCCTTCGGCTGGGGGCTGCTCACCGCCCCTCTCTGCCTCAGTCACTGCCCAGCTCGTCCCTGGGTGCCCACACCAGACACAAGCACCAGTGATTTAACACAAGGCACCTGGAGTGGGTCCCTGGGGCCAACAGCAGGCATGGTGGCAGGGCTAGTTCAGCCAAGATGCAGGGTTTGTCCCCCAGCTGCCTGGATCCTGGCCAGCTGAGACCCCTTCTCTCCCCAGGGACTTAGGAAAGCGCATTAAAGTCTCAGCCTTTCACCTGGCTCGTCTCCATTCCTCTGTGGCCACAAGCCTGACTGCAGCCCACCCCACCCCGCGCAGGGGGCCCCGCACTTACCCGGTGCGTGTTGTTGATCACCAGGGGGTCCGGGCTGCCGTAGTTGGGGGGGTTGGCGTAGGGGTCGTAGCCCAGCCTGGCCAGCATGGGCGCGATGTGGGCCATGTCCTGCACCACGTCGCCTGGGATGTGCCCGATCCACTTGGACAGTGCCTCCAAGTTCACAGGCTTGATGACCTGGTCCGTGGACCTCTCGATCCTGGGGAAAAAGGCCAGGCATTCACTCACTGGGATGCTTGAGTGGGCTGGGGTCTGTGTCCTGCTAGACTAGTGGGCTCTGCATCCCCCAGTAGAACTTGCTTAAAAACAAGAGACCTTAAGCTTCAAGAGAGGTTGTGATGGAGGTCAGGGACACGGATGCATCTCATGGGAGGCTGCCCTGCTCCAGCCCCTAGTCAGGCTTGCCCTGCAGAAGGGCTTTACTACAAACAGGCTACATGGCAATGCAGTTACAGGCCTGGAGCTGGGCCAGCCCTGGGAGCAGGAGCCCCATGTCCCACCCTGCTTGGTGGGGCCTCCAAACCCTGCCTGGGGCCCATCATTTGTGCAGGCTTTCAGTGGTTTTCTGTCTCCACCCCGCAGGAGGGATTCAGCAACATGCTGAAGGGACTGAGGAGACCACACCTTAAATATCTAACACGCCAAAAATGCTGCTTCAGGCGTCACCAGCTTGAGTCATGGCCCGTGCAGCCTGCTCCCCCAACATGCTGCGCCGTGTGGGAGGACCCTGGTTGGGCTAAAAAAGCTGGGCCTGGAAGCACCTCTACCCAGGCTTCACTGGGAACAGGTACAGCCCTTGTTAGATGCACAGAGCCAGAAGGGAACAGGAGCAGAGACCTCCCGGCCAGTCCCCACATGCTACGGTCAGTGCTGGCTGGAGCAGGTGAGATCTAACAACCCCCAGCAGGAGGGAGCGCTCCAGCAGCTGCAGACAGCAGCTACCTGGAGCACAGAGAGGGAGTGTACATGTGTACACATGCGTGTGTGTATGCATGCACTTGGCTGCACAAGATGCTTTATTTCACAATCGGGGATGACTGAGATGGGCTCCTCCCCTTCCCAGTTGGCTGCAGCCAGGTTGCAACAGCCAGGCCATGGCGGCCTCCTGCTAAGGGTGCAGGGATAACCTTATCTCTAGCTGCAGGGACTCACTTGGACAGGGAGACGCCGCCAGGCTTCCCAATCAGGTCCTCATGGTGCAGCATGGCATCGCTCCAGGCGATGCCCAGGAACTGCATGATGGCCTGCAGGGACTGCTCTGGGTGCAGCACCAGCTGCTCATAGTAGACGGGCAGGCAGCGGGAACGCCCGATCTCCTGGCACTGGGAGTACATGACCTCGATGGCCTTGTTCCACTTGGTCAGGCAGTCCCGGTAGCTGCTGAGGTCGAAGCCGGCGATGGTGACCTTGCGCGTGATCATGGAGTGCACAGAGGCCCGGCCATCCCGCACCATCAGCAGGAACTTGGAGTTGGGGAAGAGGTGGGAGAGGTAGACGGAGGACTTGAGGGTGAAGGGGTCTTTGTTGCAGAGGTAGCGGGCTGGCTCGCCGTGCTTGGCGATGACCTCCAGGATGAAGGCCTGCATGGCCGCATCCAGCACCTGGTCTGTCACACCCGCCTCGTCCAACCGCATCTTCTCCCGCCCCGACTTGGACCAGGCCTGGCGCATGGCCAGCACGCGGGGGATGATGCGCGTCTCCTCGCCACAGCGCACCTCAGGGTGGGCGTCCAGCATGGCCCGCATGAGCGTGGTGCCGCTACGAGGCACGCCGCCGACGAAGATGAGTGGCATCTCCTTGCTGTAGCGGTACTCCACGCGGTTGGCATCCACCATCACCAGCTCCTCGTTCTCAGGCCGCATCTGCCAGTGCCTCCGCCCGCTTAGTGCCTGCTGGCACTCCAGCACCTGCTGCCCTACCTGCAGCGTCACCATCAGGGCCACGGCGCAGCCGATGCCCAGCAGCACCCGCCGCACGCTGACCCTCATCCTGGCTGGGGGGCCGACGGGGGCTCTACCTTCAGCTCTTGGTCTGGGTGGAGGCCATCCAGCATGCGCCTGCGAAAGGGAACAGCAACCGGTCAGGGTGCAGGTTGTAGGGGTTTCGGTTTGAGTTATGCTAAGCTGTAGTGGAGCTAAAGGACCTTGGGGGTAGCAGGCTTCACAGACCGCTGTGTGACCTGATCAAAGATGCAGCGAGCCAAAAGGCTGGAGATGCCTCAGCCTGGCGGGGGGAGCTGGAGTTGGTGAGGGATGAGCTGCAAGTGCCTGGATTTGGCCAAGAGCTACGGGAGAAAGGGGCATCTCGACAGAGAGGGAGACCAGAGGTGGCACAGGACGGTGGGTTTACATGCAGGGGGTGAGGGGGTGGGAGACCTGTCCCTCACAGAGACCTAGGGGAGCGCGAATAATGCGCGGTGTCCCTACACGCCAAGGACAAGCTGCGCCCAGTTGGACCGGCCGCCGCTTGGACTGGCTGACGAGCTGGCCCACAGCAACCGGCCTCTCTCAGCTTTTGCCACCAGACACGAGTCCGGGTTGTTCTTTCTGCGTTGCAGCTGAGCTCTGCACGCCCGACCCTGGCAGCATGAACCCCGGGCAGGCTGGGCATCTCGGACTGACACAGGGCTCCTTCCCCAGCCCGGGTGGGTCCCTTCCATCAGCCTGAGAGCCCATGGCCGGGTCTGATCACCCTGCAACAGGGAGAGCCGGGTAGTTCTGGTGCATGGGGGAGACGGGGGCTTGCAGCCTTCCCTCTCTCCCCCTGCTCCCACAGGCCAGGCGAGCTGTTGCTCCCCCAAAGCTCCCTGACTCGGCTTTCCCTTGCTGCCTGCTTCCCCAATGAGATGCTTCTTCAGTACATTTTACTGCTATAAAAACTCACCACCCCAGGAAAGACAGTCCAAGCACTTTCCGCTTGAAAGCCTGGGGGCTGGCTGCAGCAGAAGCTATGACCAAGTCAACTCCACCCTGCCATGAATCACCCTCCAGACTGACCAGACCCTGCTCCCTCCCAGGGGCCTTCCTTTGTCCTCCGCGAGCTCGCTGCTGCTCAGTTGCAGGTTGCTGGGCAGTCGTCCCCGGGCTTGCTGGGCCCTGTTCAAGCTGGCAGGCTGCCCCCCAACCTCCCGCCCTGCCTGCAGGCTCAGCACAGGTTTTGCAATCCTGCCCCGGTCCCTCGCAACTTCTGTATTGCATAAGAGCGGAAGGAGGGAAGGGGGGACTCTTTAATCAGCCCTCATCAGCACCGAAGGAGAAACCCGTCGTCCTCCTCCAGAGGCCCTTAATGAAAGGAGGCATTTAGCTGGATCCAAGCAGACAGCCCCCGGCACAGGCAGCGCATTCGTTTGCTTTCCGTCTCCTGCTGGGGAGGGCATCAGCTCTGTCAACAGCAGCTGTGCAGGGTGCCCTGCCTCTGCTGTCCTTTGTCCAGCTCGGGCTGTGCATAATGCTGCCCCGGGGACCCTGGAGTGCAGCTAGAGCCACCCCAAGGAGGAACAGACCTGCCCCTTCAACTTCTCCCCCCACCTTGCAAGCCTCTGGCACCAGCCACACTTACAGCCCGAACCAAGAGGACTACGACCCTCCAGGCCACGGAGCAGGGCATCAGCTGAGACCATCTGATTATATGGAGGATATTTCATGCCCAAGGGGGAGGAGAGGAGACTGCAGTGCACTGCCTAAACTGAACAGGCACTACAAAGACATGGGTCTCGTGTGCTGGGAGCCTACCCAGAGCCACTGCTAAACTCAAGATGCTTTTGGATGCAACATGCAATCTCCCTGCTGAGGGCCCTGAGAAGAAGGGTTCCCCTCTAGTCACGGGGTGTCTCAAGGTGGGCTGTTTGCCCAGAGGCACATCCAAGGGCTGCCAGACCCACCCACTGATGCTGATGCACAATCCCTGTCTGCGCTCATGTGCAGCCCTGCCCTGTGCCCCGGGGACACGCAACCGTGGCAAGCTGTGGGACAAAATCCTGCAGCCAGAGCAAAAACCGAGGGCTGGCTGCGAAGAAATCAGCTGCGAGCCAGCAACGCACTGGGAAAGCAGCCGTGAGGCTGGAGGAGGACTCTCACGAACCCATGGGAGCTCTCTGCCATTAAAAGCCCTCCTTGATCTGCATTTGGGTTAGACGCCAATATCTGTGAGGCTTGAAAGCCTGCCTGGAACGGCCATAAAATATGAACAGGGCAGAAGTGGATGTGCAGGCAGCCGCATGCAATATTCATCAGCCCGCTTCACTGGATACACTTACCTTCCCCGGGGAGGCTCATCTCGCTGCCGGCCAGGCCTCTCGCTCAGACGCAGATGGCTGGTAAACACCTAAGGGGAGGGGAAAGAAGCCATACTGTTGATCTGCTGTGATACAGCAGGTCCCCACCTGAGCGCCCGCTGCTCTCAGTATTCACCCTCCCGGCTGCCAGGCCTCGTGTGCCCCGGCTGGCTGCAAATCATGCATCTTGAAGGTCACTGCCCAGCAACAGGCATGCAGCCCCGCGAGGCAACCCAGCCGGCAGAACTCGGCCCGAGCACCCCGGTGTGCACGCCCCGTTCAGATGGGCAAGGCAAAGCAAACCTCGACCCCCAGCACGGCAGGATAGAGCGTGTTGCACCGGGAGAGACGCCTTGCTGAGCTCTTCTAGCGACTCAGAGTGGCGGGGAGCCATGCAGGGCTGAGACCCCGCTGGGAGCAAAGGCAATGGGGAGGCTTCTCCCATGGGGCAGAGCTCTTGCTGGGGAGGGCAGGCTCCCAAGGGGAGGCTGACGTCGCAGGATATTTGGGGCTGGATGGAAGTGCCGGTGGCAAGTGCAACCTATGCTCCTCTGGTGCACGGAGGCGCGCAGAGCGGCGCAGCCTGTTCCTGGAGCCCAGGGAGGACGCAGCTGCTGCCAGGTCTCATGGACAGCAGGCCAGAGGCCGAGGCACCAGCCAGGCTCCAACACCTTCCCAGCCAAGCCTGGCCCGGCCCCACCTGCTGTTGCAACGGCGTGTCTGTCTCAACACATTAGGTTCACGGAGCTGAGCGCTCCAGGCAAAGTCAGAGCAACATCAAGGAGTTGGGGCGAGCCCCTGCGAAGCCGGCTGGATTCCCGGGTTTCAGGACACACCAGCTGCTCCAAGGACTGAGTAATGCGGTCCTCACACTGCCTGTGCACATGTGCATGCACACGCACCTCCCGTTATCCTAGACCCCAGGATTCCCAACGAGCCTGTTTATCCCTGCGAGCTCTCTGCAGATCATGGGGATGAGCGCTTGGATACAACGCCAAATGCCCATCAGCTTCACGACCGATGGAGCCCACCCTTGGGCTGCGATAGCAGGTGACCCGTGCAGAGGTACCGCTTGCAGTAGGGCATTGGCAGCCCCTGCGGGCTGGCAGGACCCCTCACTTTGGCTGACAGGTCAGTCTCGAGGATGAACAGCCACCACACAGAGGCAGCATGCAGCCCGCAGACCTGGGAAGGGGGCTCTTCCTCTGGAGACCTCCAGCCTGACGGCCCGAGAGCGCTCCCTGGGTGCTCGGCACCTCCTGCGACGAGGGCTGATCCCTGCCTCAGCTTCCTCTTTTGCACTGGGGGACGGCACCACTGCCTTTCCACGGCCAGCCGAACCTGTCTGCAGGGTTTGGAGCTCTCCATTAGCTGACAGCAGCTGTGTGAGCTCATGAAGATCCTCTCTGCAGACTATGGTCTCTGTAGAGCGAGCTAGCAGCCTGGCAGGAGATCTCCACCCTATCCTGCAGGCATGGGGCCAGGTCACCAGCCCCCTCCGCTCTCGTCCCCACCCAACAAGACGTCAGCTCTGAGCAGAATTGGGGTTCTCACCTGGAGGGGCCCGCGACCTCGGCTCCCGGGAGCATCCCGCCCCCCCGCCGAGCCTGGCACTGCGACTCGTTTGCTGTTCACCGTGCTTTACAGCCCCCAGCCCAGCACCATCTCCTGAAACTGGAGCAAGCGTAAAGCACAAGCTCCTGCACATGCATAAGTGCACGCACTTCCTTCCTGATAACGCTTACAGCCCGCTGCACCGATAACATAGGCCTTTTTGCAGGCTGACAGCCTGGTAAACAGCAAAGAGGCTCCGGGCACCCCCGGGAGCACAGCACGCCTCAGCGTCCTGCTCCGGGCATGGACAAGTGGGACAGAGGAGCCTGTGAGACACAGCTGATATCTGCAAAGGACGTAATGCCCCTGTCAATGGCACCTACGTACAGCCCCAACGAAAGCAGCCTGCTCGGTTCATCAGGAAAAGGAGGGAGCTTCACAGCCCCCTGCCCTGGGCTGCACAGCAAAGCCCCAGAGCTGGATCGAGCGTGAAGCTACCCCAGCACCTAAAACCATCTCTGCTGCAACGGAAGCCCGTTTCCTGTGCTGCCGCCACTGCACAGAGACCAACCCATCCCCATCTTCTCTATGCTTTTATCTCTTGGGAGGCCTATCGCCCACCTCAGCCCGCAGCCTCCTCTTCTCCAGACTGATCAAACCCAGCTCACTTGTCCACCCGCTCCTTGGGGGTGGGGGGTTTCCAAACCTTTGGGTGTCCTTGGTGCTGCCCCTAGACTCTCTTCAGTCGGTCCGCGTCTCTATCAGAGCACGGCGCTCAGAGCCACGTCAGCATCAAGCAGGGCACAATCGTTATCTCCCACGTCTTGCCTCCCACGCTCCTGTGACACACCCCAGGAAACCTGCCCTGCTTGCACCAGCGCCGCACCACTGACTTCTTTTCAGCTTGTAGTCCACAGAGATCCCCCAGGGGTTTCCACAGAACTGCTCCCTCCCCCGGCCCTGGCCTGCACCCACCACAGGATGCGGCCGTGAAAGGAGAATGGAAGTAAGGATGCTCCTGCCACGACCCCCTGCTGTGGAGGATGTCTGGCTCTGTTCGACTTGGCCTGTCCCAAGACCGTACAGTTGAGAAGCTACTGGGGTCTCCCTGACTGTGTGAACTTGACCTTGCCCCCACTCCGCTCCTATGAAACCCATCACTTTTGCTGCTCACGCCCCCTCGTTTGGCAGCTTCCTTCCTGGCAGAGCTTCCCGGGGCTCTTCATTTCGCTTCCACTTCACTCAGCTATTGTCCGGTCCAGGGAGCCCGCTTGCAGAAAGCAGATCTCAATACCATTACGGAGGTCGAGATGGGGTCCCTTTTCTCCTCTCCCCTGGTTGGGTGATGTCCTCCTGTTGTCTTGGGGCTGAAGCCTTCATCTCATAAGCCATGCACTGTCCTAACGGTTCGATAAGGTGCATGCTTTTGCAGGTCACCAGTTTTGGGGGGGGTCAGTGGAGCAGAAGGGGTATCTGGCCTGCATAAAACCTCACACCTCCTCCTCCTGCGGTGCCCAGAGACCCGGCAGTCCCAAGTGACTTCTCATCCATCAGTCGCCCAAGTGCACCTTTAAGGGACATGACTGCAGAGCTTTGAATGCTGGAGAGAGCTGCCATCTCCCCACCGCGTCTTTATAGCTTTGTTTTCAAATCAGGCAGAGCCCACAACCCTTTTCTTAAATTGTATTTTATTTTTAAGAAGGGTGCTTTCCTTGTCATTGTTTTAAGTCCGGTTCCTATTTTAGCTACTCGTAAAGTGAGAACACCTCCCTGTCGAAATGATCCTGCCTCTTGGTACGCTTGGTTTTGTCAAGAGAACCAGAGAGTCCACATGACAGGATTATGTCCCCTGGAGACCTCCTCTCCTAATCCCCCCATGCAATTGAGGGACCCCTCTTGCAATTGAGGCACACAGGAAATTTTATTTCCGCTTGTGAATACATTGCAAAAGTAGGTTGCACAGCTCTGGGGTACACAGCACAAAGCCAGCATGCACCAGCTTCAAACACTGGAGCCTGTTGCTAAGAAATATCTGAAAGGTAAAATCCAGAGCCAAGAAGAGCATTCACAGCCGAATGCCCTCCAAGCACTCCCCACATCCCCAGGAGAGGCCAGTCAAGGACCCACGAACAAAGCCAGGCTGCTTTAACAGGGTTTAAATCAAATCAACAAAGATCTGATGGACATTTTACACCACCACTGTCCTGCTTGCTTATCGCCTGGGGGCAGCTGCGATTAGAAAAGCATTTCATTATCTGCTTAATGCCAAAAGGTTTCGGAAATTATAAAAGCCCTGCCAACTTGCAGCACCCTCCATTTGAGGAGGCCAGGCAGCGACACCCGGGCAGCGCTCGGGAGACGGTGCCAGCATACTTATTTCTGACCTCTCCTTGGTGCGGGCCGTGAGCAGGCTGGTTCCTGCCAGCCATGCTATGAATGAAAGCACCTGCAATTAAAAACCTGCTAGCAGAAGCAGCAGCCCCAAAGAAACCAGACTAAGCTGTCACACCCAGCTCTGCAGGAACCAGGCGAACCAGACCCTCATCTCTTCCCACGCCTCCTTCCCAGAGGAGTTGCTTCCTTGTGAAATGCACTGCGAGGATTTCCAAGGGCAGCGTTCAGCGAGGAACAAGTGTCTGTTGATGCAACAGCTCGTGGCGTTCTTGCCGAGCGGGTTCCTTGCATCAGCTCGACGAAAGGCCCTGCGGGTTTCTTATCGTTTCAGCGTGACACCAGCCAAGCCTTGATGCCTCCTGCCAGGAGAGAGACAGGCGAAGCAGTTGATGTTCAAAGCCTCTGGGTTGTCATCTCCTTCGTAGTCTTCTTAAAAAAAGGAGCAGGCACTGCGTTACAGACCTAGATGTAGGGAACCCAGCAGACGCAAGTGCAGGGCAGTCCGATAGCATGGCCTGTCCGCCAGTCTCTGGAACAGACACACAGGCCGTGGCCATCTCTTGCCCCTGGTGCTAGAGCCAGCGTGTGGCCCCTAATGTTGGGGGAAAGTCATTGATACCTGCACGTCCCCGCTCAGGTGGTGGCACCGGTCCCAATTCTCCCTGCCCCCTGTTCCCGAAAATTCAGGTGGCTCCGAGATTTCAGGGTTTGCTTTGCAGACAGGATCCCAGAGCAGGAAGCCTGGAGGCCACGTCTCCGCATGGAGCAAGGCTCCTTCCCACTTAGATGCCACCTACCTGGAGAGAAGGAAACATCCCTTTGCCATGCCTCAGGCTCAGAGCAAGCGAGGCAGCCTCAACCTTGGGGGCTTTTCCAGAGCCATCCTCATCCCAGAGCGGCATGTCGCTTGCTTTCACCTGATGCAGGTTCGTTTGCAGATCCAGCCACCCCTGGGAAGTGGTAGCGGCCAACCGGAAGAGCAGCAAGTGTCCGAGAGGGCAGGGCAGGGCAGGGTTTGTGACCCTAGAAACACTCTAGAATGACGGTCCAGGGAGAACTTTTCCAGACCAAAGGGACCATGGAGACACGGGAGTCTCCGTCCTCATCCCATTGCATATGAGCAGCCATATCCGCGCTCCTCCACAGCCGCCCTGAGGAAGGGACGGCTGCTACCACAATCCTCTGGGTTAGCCGATGAGAGCGACGGGTGTCTCGGGGCAGGACGCTGGCGCCACGAGAGAAGCATCCATCTGGCAGGCCAACTGTATCCCGGGTGCAATCGCGGCTCTACCGAAGCCCCTGGCCCTGCTCACGTTCCCCAGCTGGAGTTACCAGCCCAATGCAAGAGCGTCCACTGTTGCACGTGCAGCAAAAGCTCTCGTTGTCGCCCCTGCGTCCTCACTGCTCCACAGCCAGCAAGGAGTGCAGGGCAGGCCTCAGACGGCAACGCCTGAGCTCCAGGAGCACTATATTGATACTGAATGGGACTCGCTGCTGCTATGAAACCCGGTGGGATGAGTGGCTCCTGCACTGCACTGCAGTCTCCTTCAGCCACAAGCTGGACACGCTGTTTGCAAACCCTGAGCTGGCACCAGCCTTGGCCGTTGGCTGCTGAGTCTATCACCGAAGATGACCCTGGGAGACGCATGGCGATCGCACAGCCAGCCGCGGTGACCCCTCAGCCAAGAACCCTCTTGCCCTTATGAGCCTGTGCGGCACAAGACGGGCAAGCACCTGTGCCAGATAACCCCAAGGCCCAGCGTACGCTGCACTGTGAAAGGGGAAACACAGCAAACCCAAGACATGCTTGCGCAGAGCTTGTGTGAATTGAGAAATGGGGAAATGATCTGCAGCAAAGCCGCCCAGACGGGGCTACTATAAAAAACCTTTGGCTCGGTCTCAGTCTCTGCAGAGACACGATTTGAGAAATGAGGAACCAAGGAAAAGTCCCAGTGTCTCATTTCTGTCATTCCCACCTCACTTTTGAGGCAGACGGGTGGTGATAATTTATGCCCTGTGATGACAAGAAGGAAAGAAATCAGGAGAGCACCTAACCCGAGGTTAAAATAGGACAAACCATGGGTCTGACTCGCATTCTTCTCGCTCCTTGCATCCACCACAAAGCAACGGCTGGAGCAGCAACTCAGCCTGGACCCCGGGCACAAAGGCTTCTGGAAATCCCATTCGGGAGGGAGATGGTGGCGCGTCTGTGCAGGGAAACCCCCTGGGGACACAGCTGATGCCAAGGATGGAGGTACGTTTCCCATCCCCTCGCTGGGAGCCCAAGCCGACAGATCGGAGAGAAACAGCGGGACCCCCCAACCATGCAGAGCTGGTGCTGGCTCACTCCAGTCACCCCTTTACTCTCCCCGTTTTTACCCCAAACGCTCCCTCGCTGCTCACCGCCGTATGGGACGCTCCCACTGGATGCAGGCTCCTGGGATCAGCAAAGTCACCGCTGGAAGAAGCACTTTGACCTGTGCCAACATCTCCTCCCAGCGCCCGCTCAAGCCTTTAAACAGCCACTCCCTTGCGGGAGGTTGTCGAGAGGCTGGTCACTGTGGGTTGCAGTTCGTTTTTAACAAAGAAGCAGGAGCGCTTCCTTCCCAAGACTGCAAATTACAGCTGCTTGCAGGTCCCTTCATCATCCACCCAGTGCCTAATCCCCGTGGGCTGGGTGCTACCAGGGCAGCTGGAGAGCGACGCCAAAGGGAGACGTGGGCCTGGGCGGAAGCGCTCTGGTCCCACAATACTCAGCCACACCTGGACCCCGCTGACCCCCTTGCTGTTTGCTCAAAGCCTCCCCCAGCTCATCGGCCACAAGCAGGGACAAGCGTCCTGGCAAGCTGCAGCACCCTCCAGCCACGCTCAGGGGTTGGGGTGATATTCTGTGTCCAGCCCCACTCTTAGGGCCTGGTTTTCCTTTAGGTACTGTGCATCACCAGGTATGCTGGAGATACAATCAGCTCCTGGATAACCTCTCTCTCTTCTATATATATATAAAATAACAACAGCCCGGCCTCTGGATCTGTGCATGGGGGGGCATACTTCCAGGTCTCTGGTCCCATGACCTCCCGCAAACTGCACCGAGTTTTGAATCAGGTGGCAGGGAAGACAACCCACGTGTACACAACCGGCCTCTCTGCGTGCTGTCAGCTGCTTGTGCAAGAGAAAGGTGGTTTTGCACCCCCACGGCAGCTTCCTGAGAGTGCTGAAAACACGCTGGGGTGTCCTCTCCTCTCACGCAACGCGTGCTCCGGGAGGGCCCGTCCGGGTCTGCCCAGAGCAGGGCGCGGCCTCGGGATGGAAACTCGCCGCGCACTTACGGGAATTCAATGCAAACAGTGCTCAGTCGTGCCAGCAATGGCCAAGGCCCAGCGCCTCGCACCTCACCTCCGGCACTCAGGGAAGGCTTTATGCCTTAAACCTGAGAGCCCCTCACGCATCAGGGTGACCCACAAGCCTCAAATGACACAGCTACCTCCTCATTTCATCTGCTAGGTGCTTAAACAGAGCACAGGTAACCACAAGGCAAGCAGTGGGCTGGAAAGATGCCAAGCACATGCACTCAGGAGCCTCTCTCAACCGATTTGCAGATAAATCATGTTTGTTCCGAGACAAGCAATCCGCGATGGCTCCTAACCCCACTAGACTCAAGGCAGCTCCCGGAAAATGCCAGCTCCCAGCTTTCACCTGCATTTTGACTATGGAACGACATACCGGAGTAATTCTGTTGTCAGAAAGCTGCGGCAGGGCAGAGGGTTTTTTAACCCTATGGATTTGTATTTGAAATCTCCATCTTGTGAAGCAGGCGTAGGTGTCTGCGCACCTAGCAGGGCTCGTATTGCACTTTGACCCTTAAAAGGATCTCGCGGCTGAGAAGTGCTGATCCAGGGCTTCAAAGCCTGCAGCTGGGCTTGATCCAGAGGGCAACCCTGGCCAGATGTGCACGGCTGATGCACTCTGCGAACCCAGAATCGCTGCTTTAGAAGCACCTAGCAGCAAAACAACCCACGTTGCAAGACATGGGCTAATCCAGTCCTAATCCTTTTATCCCGCGTTCCTGGCACAAGCGCTGCCCGAAAGTGCTGCTTGCACTGGGAAGAGCCTCCAGGGGCCAAAGAGGACCAGAGCAATCCCAGCGTGCGGCCCCGCGGCAGGCCTGGCGTGCGCACAGCGCGGCTGGCAACCATCCGCTCGCCAAGACGCGCCTCCAGCTTAGCACAGCGCACGGCTGCTCAGGTTTTGCTTTGAACCGACTCGGCCACGAACGTAGCCCGACAACCCCAGGCGCCCCTGGCACGAGGGCGAGCGTCGAAAGCAGGCGGATCCCCCGGCGTTACGACTCTTTCGCGGGGTCACGCAGCTCCCGTCAGCTGCCCGACAGCACTTGAGGAGCGCGCGCGTCTGCCAGGGCATGGCTGAACCTAGGGCGAGAGGCGGACGAGGCTCTTTCCTAGCAAGACGCCAGACCCCAAAGCCCGAAGCATGCCGCCGAGGCCGGCCCCTGCCGCGTCCTGGACAGCACAGCATCTCCGCTGAGGAGGGCAGGGCCCGCGCGCCCGTGGCTGCTGCAGACCCGCACGCGGCTCGCGGCCTCCAGCCGCGACACAGGGACGAAGCGAGAGAGGCGCGGGGGGAGCCAGCCCCGAGGAGCGCAGGGGGCCAAGCGCCCCCAGGGCTCCGGCTGGGGCGGGGGCAGGGCAGGGGGCCGGGCCTCCCCCCTCGCGACAGGCGCGGGTGTCTCGGCACCGACCCACGCCTGAGGTGACGGACCAGGCCGGCCCCT